GCTATTGGTTGAATTAATCTAACATATTTCAAAATCAAACTCACCTTAGCTTTGTCCTCAAGAGGTAAACTGTTCTCTATGTAAAACTGTTCAGCATGTGTGATAGAGGAATGTTCGGCAGGAGTATTGCTGCCCATATAGGTGAAGATGATGCTCCATAAAAATCCTAAACCACCATTCAAATAAAATATCATTGGCCATCCATACCAGCTAGCTGCTAAGTAGCCACTTGTGAACGTGATCACTACCGCTCCTATTGTTGCACCTAAAAAGAATGCATTCACATATGCCTGATTCAAAATGTATATAATCTGCTCATCATGTCAACAAACCAACAAACTGTTGCTTTCAGGAACATGCTTCACGGAAAACAGAATACTCACCACCAGCAGCTAGCGTTCCCAATCCACTTCTTTCATGTGGAGGAACCCATTTTCCTAGCAGACCGTGCAAGGAAGCAGGAATAATACCCTGAGCGAATCCTTGCAGGACCCTACAGACCATTACTCCCTCGGATCCAAAGGAATAAGCAGCTGTTGGTAGCAAGAGATCCAATATGGCACAAACAATTGATGATCCGACCAAAAACCATTTGGGACCATAGCGGTTGGCTAGCCATCCTGACCCCAACTCTGGTAATATAGATCCCCAGAAGAAACAGGAAAGTATTGCTCCTTTGTTTTTCCATTCGAATGTCTGTAAAGTAACAAATTTTGGAATTATACTCCTTTTGTCGCGTTAGGGAAAAATGATGAGTGAAATGACAACCAATTTGACAGATGGCCGTTACCAAATTGACAAAAGTGCCTGTTGAAAGACCCTTGTACCTGAACACTCGATTAACTCCATAGTAGAGAGGACTGGATCCTCCGGGAGTTGTTGGTTCACAGATGGATCAAAAACACCTTCCGGTTCTGGTGCAGGACAGAGATATATACCTGCCTAGGAACCTATACGACTGTATTTCAAGCGGTAATTTACTAAATTGAAGAATTTGCAATTGTTGCTTCATGAACTGTATAGTATGCGCCCCTGAGAATTAAGTGGATTAATAGTCCAAAATGTTTGTAAATTTCTTTCCTTTACATGCTTATAAATAAAATATGTAACACATGGATTCATTTTTCATCGGAATACATTCGTTTGTATAAGAAGCACATGACCTATTCCTACGGATTCTCTTCGAAGCTGACACGCGACAAGGAACGCTTGAACCAAATTGCCATTTTCATTTCATTTGAAAATGTCGCGATTTTTGT